AAAAGGCCAAATAAGGACTTCAAACCAAAAAAAAAGTTATTTTCTGTTTTGTCTTATTCTTGAATCGGGCTTTAAAGGGTTAAACTGCTTCTTTGACGACATCAAGAGACATGCTGAGAGCAGTCCAGGTACTATAAATATGATTAAACCATATTTTTCTGCATTGTAGTTTCTTTCTTTAGATTACGCACTTTATAGCATAAGGTTTAAACAAAAGGAAAACATTAAACTCAAAAAGACAAGATTTATGTTTAAATTCAAAGTTGAAAAAGATGTCTCCCGGAAGTAGTGTAGGATCCCATTTCTAATCCTAAGGCCTCAGAATCCTTTGCATTGAGAGATCGTCTTGCAAAGCATTATGGGATTTTCTGTCACAGTGGCCCGCTGTCACCATAGGCTGCCTCTACCAGACAGTGGCGACTAACAAAGATGGTGCAGGGACTGCGCAGTGGAGGAGGAGTTACGTGACCAATGGAGCAAAAAGCTGTGATCATCTGTCCGAACGGTCAGTTGTCAAACAGAGCGTGCACGGGGAGAAATGGGCTTGTGCAAGCTCTCGCACGCGCATTTTTTTTTTAAGTGGAGAGGGTGAGTCTTTAAAAAAATTGGAGAAAATCCTCCACAATACCTTTAATTGGAGTGGATAGTTTAATACCAAAATAAATTTAAAAAAACATTTTAAAAACCATCCATCCATTTTCTGTCACGCTTATCCCAGGTGGGGTCACGAGTAGTGCTGGTGCTCCAGCTGTCTACGGGCGGGAGGAGGGATCCAGCCTGGACGCCATTCCATCGCAGGTTTAACACGGAGACAACCAACCATTCACACCAGTCATGTTTCTGGTCTGTGGGAGGAAGCCGGAGTACCCAGAAAGAACCCATGGATACTCAGGGAGAACATGCAGAAAGACCCTGGCTGGAATCGAACCCTGAAACTCCTTGCTAGAAGGCAGCTTTGCTAACCGCTGCGCCACTGAGCCGCCCAAAGAAGTAGAAAATGTAAACAGAAATGATTCAAACTAGATCTGCAACTGACGTTTATTTTGCAAATCAATTAATCCTTTAAACTTTGGATAGAGAATATTGAAATATTTTTTTTCAATTTTGATGTAATTCCATCTCTAAGTGGGTCTCTGTCCGATAAAGGCGTATTTTTGGAGTCCATATACTGCAGGTAATTATTAATCGAT